TCACTATGAACAAAGGTAAGCGCGTGGGTTGAAGCAGACTACATTTGAGGTACGTAGGTATTACTTGCGCGGGGATTTTCGAAGATAATTTTTCATTTCTTTCTTCGATTTTTTTTTTTTGGTTTTGCTTTAATTTTTGCCACAACCTTATGATTCATAAGGTTAAGAATTTCGCATATTTTTCATCATTAAGGAATTTCAATTTATAAGCAGACTTTTTTGAATTAGCATAAAAANTTTTTTTTTTTTGGTTTTGCTTTAATTTTTGCCAAAACACCATCAAAAACTTTTGACACTATGATTCATAAGGTTAAGAATTTCGCATATTTTTCATCATTAAGGAATTTCAATTTATAAGCAGACTTTTTTGAATTAGCATAAAAACTTGTAATATTTTATATGCTTATTTTTATGTTTTGTTTTGGTTTTTTTTCAATGATTTTTATTTTTTTTTGTATTGACATTCCTTTTTGTATTTCTTTTAGAAGAGTCTTTCTTGTCTGTCATAACAGCATGATCAAAAAAAAAACAACAATAAACAAATGTCTGATACAGCTTTGTCACTTGAAATGAGCTAACAAAGCTCAGCAGTAGGTAAACAAAGACCAGAATAATGAAATAATAATAAATTAAAATAAATAAATAAATAAATGCTTGAAACTAGTGCACTCGAAAAGCAGTTGTGAAAACAAGCGCACTCGAAGTGCAAAGTGAAGGGAGCGCAAATATTTTAAATTGAATCACTATGAAAATTACTAACTCGACGGACGATAAATTGTAGCTGGGAACGACGAGTCGGCCAAGTAAAAAGCATTAGAAAACTATGATGCAGAATGGACAAAATCTAAATAAATAAATAGTAATACATATATAAATGTATGTATGTATACCAATATGCATAGGAGACCATACTGAAAAAACACACCCCTGACTCTAAAGCAGACATGGGCGGCGATTTCGAAAATAATTTTTTTTTTATGCTGAACTTTTGCGACGCTTTTTGACATTTTTACTTATACCTTTCTTTGGTATTTACAGTCGGATCTTACAGTATGATATACCGCTGTTTTTTCTCGAGAAAACAATTTTTTATTTTTTTTGTTCCAAATCTCGCCAAAAATCTTAAAACTTTTACTAAAGAAGTGTTTCGATTCCAAGGCAATTTCGATTTTTATCTTTTGGTGAAGTNAGACCAGAATAATGAAATAATAATAAATTAAAATAAATAAATAAATAAATAAATGCTTGAAACTAGTGCACTCGAAAAGCAGTTGTGAAAACAAGCGCACTTGAAGTGCAAAGTGAAGGGAGCGCAAATATTTTAAATTGAATCACTATGAAAATTACTAACTCGACGAACGATAAATTGTAGCTGGGAACGACGAGTCTGCCAAGTAAAAAGCATTAGAAAACTATGAAGAAGAAGGGACAAAATCTAAATAAATAAATAGTAATACATATGTACATGTATGTATGTATACTAATATTCATAGGAGACCGTACTGAAAATGCACCCCTGATTCTAAAGCAGACATGGGCGGCGATTTCGAAAATAAATTTTTTTATGCTGAGCTTTTGCGACGCTTTTTTACAGTTGTACCTATCTTTGGTATTTACAGTCGGATCTTACAGTATTATATACCGCTGTTTTTTTTCTCGAGGAAACATTTTTTGTTTTGTTCCAAATCTCGCCAAAAATTTTAAAACTTTTACCAAGGAAGTGTTTCGATTCGAAGGTTATTTCGATTTTTTTTTTCTTTTGGGTGAAGGAGGGGTCATCTTCTTCAAATTTTCTTATAGGTATCTTCGGCATTTGCAGTCAATCTTAAACTAGATATGGTAGGGGTTGGCGTTTTTGTTATTTCTTTGGTATTTACAGTTACATTTTTTTTTTGTTCAAAATCTCGCCAAAAATCTTAAAACTTTCGAAGATAATCTCGTTTTTTTTGCCGAACCTTGGGGTCCCCCACATCTTCGGTATTTACAGTCGGATTTTAAATAATGATACATCCCTGTTTTTGCCTTGAGGAGACAATTTTTTAGTTCCATAGTTCATTGAGCTGAAGTACCCTTTTTTGTCACACTAATTAGTTAATTAATTAACGTACCACCCTACTCTTACAATTATATCCAATGAAAGTTTCTTAATAAGCATTTTGCTAAGGAAGTATTTTTATAATTCCACTAGTAAACATTTTTTATTTCCGAATATACATATGTACATATATGTAGGTGTCACCGGAAAAATTTAAAAAGGCGACCCTAGGCTCGACAAAAAAAAAAAAATTTCGAAATTGCCCTGCCAAAATACTTTAGACTCAGAGGTGTAAGTTTTTTTGTTTGCTTGTAAGTTGGTACGGTATTATTATTCATACATACATATATATAGATAGTAACCCAAATTGCCATTTTAAAGGAGTATAAAACATGCTTTTGTAAAGAGGTAAGTACAAACATGAAACATACAAATGTACAAGTAAGTATGTATATTTTTTCTCTTATTCAATAATCGCTTTGGATCAACTACAAAATGATCTTCCAGCTAAATATGCAATAGTCCCAATGAAGCTGAACTGAAGTTGTTTACTGGTTATTGCATCGGTTTTCTGGCTGACTAACTGACATTTTGACTAGCTGGTTGTTGGTACATACACTCATATTTGCCTGCGGCTGGCTGTGGTTGCAAATACGAGTATTTTGAAACCGGTTGAGCCAGTCACTTCAACAGCGTTTACGATAAACGATGAGGTAGGGCGTGTATTATGGCACGAAGTGGGGGGTTTGGTGGAGAGGTCAGCTGCGGTGCGATGCCTTAGTCACTCCAACTGTATGCACTTAAAAGGCATTCATTTTCAAATGCTAAAGGCAATTCTATTTTAATTTTTTCTATAATTGCAAATTGTAAACATTTATTTTACCATTTAAAGATGCTATTATTTTAATGGTTCGTGTTAACGAGCTTAAAAGTTTTGATACTCATGAGAAAATTTACTTTCCGCTAGTATATATGAATAGATTTTGCTGAAAAATAAAATCGAACTTTTTTTTATTTTTCGCTTTAAGCTTAGAACAGTTTTCATTATTTCTGTTGCTTGAAAAAGCACTTATCTTTTGCTGCAAATTTTCCTGAGTCTACAAAGGGATTTAAGAAATTTTTATATAAGAAAATTTCTTTTCCATTTCTTGTGCATAATTTTTTATAAATTTTTCGTTTTTCGTTTTCGTGTGGGGTAGTGGTTAGCAGTGCGCACTAGCCTTCCGCAAGGCCTGGATTCGAGCCGAGTTTCCGACCAACGTCAAAAAAATAAAACATAAAAAATTTGTTTCTAATAGCGGTCGCCTCCCGGCGGGCAATGGCAAACCTCCGATTCGACTTAAATATTCTGCCATGAGAAACAGCTACTAATAAATATACAATCACCGTTCGGAGTTGGCGTAAAACTGTTGGTCCGTCCCTACCCTTTGTGTGACGACATCAAGGCGCACGCTACAATTCGTATCAATCGAAAAATGAAATTGAATTTAAATTAAGTCAACAAGGTTAATAAGATTAATATCACAATATTTTTTAAGGGGGTTGCCACCTGTTTCAAAAGTCAAATTTAGTTAACTTATAAACAAGTTATATGCAAAAGTTAAATATGTTTGTCAAACAAAACAGTGCTAAGAAATCTTTAGTTTGAACATTAAAAATCTGTTCGATATATTGGAAGAGTATTGCCAGCTATTGGAAAAGTTAAATTCAAATTATTTAAATAGAGAAATTAATAACTAAAAGATGGGTATCAATCATGTATGGGTTTGACAAGGATTTATTTCTGAATGGTTTTTAGAAGAGTTGCCAGGTGTTAAAAAAATAAAATTCAATTTAATTCATAAGTTAATTAAATTTTGTAACACAGCATCAGATGCAAGAGGTTTAAAAAGATTTTAGTTTGAACTTTGAAATTGAATTTCAAAGAGAGTTGCCGCCTGTTTGAAAAGTAAAATTAATTTAATTTATAAACAAATTAAATGAAATATTAAAATAAAAGTTTAAGAAAAGCTTAAGTTTGAAATTTGCACTGTGCAAAGATGATACCATCGATAGTGCCATCGATTGTTTGCTACCACTAGTGCATACTGAAGAAATTTACTATACAGGTGGGTATGGCAACTACTTCTGACAATTTCTGATAAGTCCGACATAGTACGGGATCGGAATTATGGATAAATCTATATTTTCTTGAATTTTAACAAACAAACAAAATCAACAAGTTGTAATCGTCTGAAAATTAATATAACTATGCTAATGTATTTTTGTTTGTACGCCCTACTGTAAATTACAATGATCCAGAAAAATAAAACTCCATGACAATTATTAGCTCTGAGCAAAAAAGTAATACTCAAGAATTATTATTTTTAGGCGAAAAAGTAAGAATCATGAAATAATGATTACCGCCCCTAAGATAAATATTAAAAGGGCGTCGAAAAAACACTATATCATTTGTGAATCCAAGAATAAATAAAAATTAAATTACATATTTTAGATAAAACAAAAACACAAAATAACGGTCTAAAAAAAAAATGAAATCTTACATATGTAACGATTACAATCGACCGAAAAAATTAAAAATTACAAAAAAGATCATAGCGCCAAAAAAAAATGAAATAACTATTATTTTCTGCCACCACTGTGCTTACCTAAAGTGATGATGCATTGAATTAATATATCAGCTAATCTGAATGGGATCTAATCCCATTTCCGGCCTTCTCGTTTTGCAAGCATAGAGATGAATGTTTAATAACTCGTTAAATTTGTCTACCAACTAGCATGTAAATCAACTTGAAAAACTAAAAAAAAACAGTACGTAATTTATTTACCTTTTCGATTTGAATATTCAGATAACTCGTTTATAATGGCTGTTGCACTAATAGTTTTCAATTTGCGTATCAATTAATTTCAATTAAACAATTACCTATTATTTTTTTTTTGTTTTTTTACAATTTCACTTTTTTCACTTCGGTCTTATTAATTTTCTTCGTTCCATTCACACTAAATCCATTTCACTGTTTCAAATGTATTTTCTTCGCACACTTTTGTATTTTATTGCATTGCAAGCAATTTTCTTCGCGTTTTGTTTTCACTACATTTATCGACTATGTACCTACTCCATTTAAATTAATTTGTAACAATTCCAGAGCGCATCAACGCTGTTGCTCATCATACAAATAAATGCCAGCTACAAACATATGTATGTACATATGTATGTATGCATATATGTACCTACATTTCCACTTCTCCACACTTGCATTTTCTGCTTCTGCTCTGCTATTGTTGTTGTTGTTTTTTCCACGTTTGCCACCCAAACACTAGTCTCGAGTTACTTTCTTTCACATTGCTTATTCTTTTACTTCTGCATCGCCGCCTTTTTTCGACAAATGCTTCACTTTAATTTCGTTTGATACTTTATTTCTTTGTATGTATGTACATATTTTAAACTTTATATTCACTTTATTTTATCAAAAACAAAAGAAGAATTTACTGCAGCAGCATGAAAATGTAAACAAAAACTGCCAGCAAATGTAAAATTTTTGTATTAAACACGTTCTTTTTTTAGCGGCAAATTTCTCAATTCATCACTCACTAAGCAAACGAATTCACTTCAACGCAATTTTTTTTTACTCTATTCGTCATTATTACTTCTTTAATCGAAAATTCGAATGCATTTCACTTTTCGTATTGTTGTTGTTATTATTATTTATTTTTGGTAGCGAACACCAATAAATAAAAATTCCAACTTGGTTTACACACTTCCCGCGTTTAAACAACAGCTTCGACCGGCGTTTATAAAACAACTGAAGTGCCAGGCAACTGTCGCAGCAGCAGAAACAACAGCATTCGTGACGAAGCAAGCGAATGACGAAAACAGCAGAAAGCAGGCAACGTCAGCGTCGCCGTAGCAGCGCAAGTATGTTGGTTGGGCAGGCAGCTGCTACAGCGCATGGTAATTTGTTGTTTTATTTTAGTGAAGTGCTAGTGAGGAGGGGCGAAATTGCTTGCAGCTGGCAATACTCTTGGGTTTTTGTGGTATTTGCGGAAATCAGCTCTCGCTTGCGATTCAGCTATTTGAAATGCAGTTGTGTCTCTCTTTTCTAAAATTTCTCTGTACTGTTGTTGTTTGCTACCAGCGAAGAGCGTTTTCTTCGAACAGCTGTTGCGTATGTGTGTGTGTATGTAGTTGCTATTATGCATGTGTGGGAGTTTGCCTAAAAGTATGCCACTATTGTGCGGCGAATTGGTTGAACGGTTGAATACAGCGTTTGCTTGAAGAGTGTTGCATACGCCCGTAAAAGGGAAAATGTTTTCCCAAACAAAAACGCGTATTTTTTTGAATCATACTTTGATATTAAAAGGTCTATCCTGCACTGGTTAATAAAGTTCCCGTAAATTTTTAAAAGGGTTCAACAATTTTTTAAGTCTATCATATTGTGCTTAATTTGATTGTTTTTTCTTCGATTAGGGGACACCCAAATGGCTTTCAAATCGCTCTAATTTGGCGCGCAGAGTAACTAAAGGTTTCTATTAGGGCTAAAATTAGCAATGGCATTTTCCTTGAAAAGACAAAAACGGAATGCGTTTAGTACCCATGCGCTGAAAAAGTGAAATTTAATAGATCAAACTCCAGAATAGGAGAAGTTAGCTATACATGAGTTAAGGTGATTTGAGGTTAGGTGAGGTGAGTTAAGGTGAGGTTAAATGTGTGTGTGTGTGGAGTGAGATGAGATAAGTGAGTTGAGGTGAGTTACAGTGAGTTGAGCTCCGGTTAGTTGTTATCTTTATTTTGGTCTGTGCCTTTATCTCTAGATTTTGTCTTTGCCCTTGTCTTTATCTTTATATTTTTTTCCTCTTTCTCTTCGTCGTTGTCTTTATCTCCGCCTTTGCCTTTGTTTTAATCCTAATCTCATTCTTTGCGTTATCTTCAATCCTAAAATTAATTTTCATCTTCATTTTCTTTTTCCTCTTCCTTTTTAACGTTATCTTTCTCTTCTTTTTATCTTCAATCTTTCATTTTCACTGCCGTATTTATCTTGCTCTTTGTCATAATCTTCCTCCTGATCTCCTCTACCTTCTTCTCTTCCTTATCACCGCCTTCCTCTTAGGCCAAATATTTGACCTTTGTTTGTATTTTTATATTGCTTTGTCCTCTTAGTGTCCTTTGTTTGCGTCTTTGCCTTTGTGCATTTGGATTCGGAGGAAATCATTTTTTTTTACCATTGCTCCATACAGGAGCAACCACTGTAAGGTGGTACCAACTGGCCGAAAGAAGCTGCACCTAACCGGAAATTCCAGGTAATTGCGATATATATCAAGCCGAAGTCTTTGAAACAAAGAAAGCGGCAGAGGTACCACATAAAATTACCCTGTCAAGCAATCGGATAAACATTTTCATAGACAGTAAGCAGCCATTAAGGGCGCTAGTTTCATATTATATGTGTAAATGCGATGATCGTCGCGGATTGTAAGGAGGCTACAAGAAGGCAAGATGCGGCTAAAACCGTCTACCTAGGACAGAGCTGACGAGATAGCCAACGAACACGTTCCTTTGGACGCATTTATAGTGATGAATGTACCAATTACTTCACTGAGGGTTGTACGCTTGCACAGATTATATGCAGTTCATAAGAAATTTATAAAAAATTTGCCGATTTCCAACTAACAAGAACAAACTCGAGATTTCTGTTAGGTCGTGTTGAGTATTAAAGTTGTAGAAAACTAACGATCACGAGGAAGATTTGAATGTGTTTTAAACATGATTCTATATCGAGAGCATTGTTTCAAAGGGGCTTGGTTCTTACCATTGTTCGTTGGATAGACAATTATGCTTTGCGAGCGTGAAATCACCTCATCCTTGGACAACATTCAAGTTTGTTAGAAGATTTCCTAATCAGACTACATAAGCGTAGTTACGATGCTCTTGGATCACCAAGTAACCTGACAATTATAGTTACGGGGATATTCCGCAGCACTGAATCGGAAGATACTAGACCAGCTCTTAAAATTGTCCTTAGCTTCAAAATCCTGATCTTGTATCGTCTACAACAAGGAATAAATCAAACCTTGACTCGACTACTTCTTAAGGTACAGTGCTTGATCGCTTGAGCGCTGTTGTCGAATACCGAAACTCGCGAGAGAGCTGCAACTTGGACCATCTAAAGACTGCTGCTAAATCAAGAAGCTTCATTCAGTTATTCTTGGGAAGATACTAGTATTAAGAATGCAGTACAGATCAGGCAAAGTTTTTTATGGATCTGATACTAAATTTGCGATTTCGATGGGCATATAGCTCACGGTGTTTCAGGCTAAAGTATTAGCAATCTTTACCAGCGTCAAATGATAAATTCGAATCTGGTTAAAGATTGCTTTGACACGCCACAAATTTTTGGCAGCCAAAAACGCGATAACACTGCACCATTTCGTGATCGAAAGCAATGAGGTCACTGACGAGATGACATGAGAAGGATCGTGAATTGCCTTCTTCGGACCGGAACCATTCAACAGTCCCAGTTTGTCCTCTTCGAAAGCCAGTAAGCACTCGAGAGAGGTGGGAGGCAAAGACAGGACAGGGACTTTGGCAATCAAATTTCACTTTTATATGCTCGAAATTAAAATGTTTCTTCAATGAGAAACAATAAAATATTAACTAAAAATATCTTCATTGCCGAGACAATCTATTAGATACCAATAAAATTTTAAGGAAATGCAGTGCGTCACCAATTAGTTTTTCAGCAATAAAATGCGTCAAACAAAGGGTGGCGCACAAAAAAAAAAGAAAAGAGAATGTGCATGAAAGGGGAAGGGTGTTAGGAGGAAAGCAAATAAAGGGAAATGGATCAATTACAATTGATAAATGTTCATTGATAGCAAGAAAATGGTGGCGGATGTGTGAGAATGTAACTGCAACTGCAGCCTCAGTACGCAACTAGCGGGGTGGCAGACAAAATTTGGTGGCGATGATAATAATCAAACCAATATATTTTCAGCATCTACGACATGCACGCTTAAACACGCACATATGCACATACATGGATACATACATATGTGAGTACATATATATTGGCTTGAACAGGGACAATCAGCCAATATGGGGTTGCACTAGATGAATGGCTTTTCGAACATCATACATACATACATACATATGCGTGTACAATATTTGGGAATGCGCATTCACACACGTACGCTTACAAGCGGTATTTATTTTTATTTTCACGTTTTTTGTTATGGCTGCGGCCGCTATTACTTGATGCGTTCGCTACAACAAAAGCAAAATTTGTATGCGATAAGCGCACACGAGTGCCGGAGCTCGCCTTCACCCTCGCCCACTGCATGCGCTTGTCAATAAATAAGCTCAAGTCCAGCATCCCAGGCAATAAGCGAAAGTGCAGGGTGGCATAGGGATAGCGGAGCGGCTGATTGCTGTGCGGCACGTGTGCGCGGTTGCACGCCCGCTTGTCCATTCAATTCACAAACATACAGTGCCTCAAACAAATTACCACGTGTTGATTTTCCTCAAATAGTCGTAATGTTTTTTGAGCAAAATTTTTTTTTGGGTTATTTTTCTATAAAAATATCGTCCAAGCTTTAACCGTATGAATCAAGGTTTCAAACTTTTTTAAAAAATTTAGGAAAATTCAACGAATTTTCATCAAAATTTCAACTTCTTATTCTGAATCTTTAGAAAATTTTAGGGGTATGCAGTTTTATAGCCCATAAAATTTTAGTCTAATGAAGTGCCAGTTTTAAACGTCTAAAAAATCCCCCTGATTTTTGAAATTTTTTTTTGTAACGGATTTTTGCACTTTTTCCAGACGAAGTAAAAATTTATAAATTTCAAAATATAAATTCCAGTTTTTGTAAATTACATTTGTTATATTAAAAAACCGAAAAAGTATCCTTCAAAAAAAAATAAATTCTCAAAAATCAAAGCAATTTGTTAGCCCTTTAAAACTTGCACTTCATGGGACTAAAATGGTATGGGCTATAAAACTGCATACCCAAAAATGTTCTAAAGATTCACATTGAATTAAAATTTTGACGAAAATTTATTGAAATTTGTATATAGTTTGAATTTGTGATTTATACGGTTTTGGACGATATTTTTATAGAAAAATAACAAAAAAAATTTTAGCTCGAAAAACATTACGAATATTTGAAGAAAATCAACACGAGGTCATTTCTTTGAGTCACTGTATGTACATAATGCCAATGTGGTGGCGGCGGACGTTGGATGCATGTGTGAGTGAGCTTGCATGTTGCATGTAATATATTGGATTACTCCGTTATTGAAGTGGGTTTAACGCAGCTGCAACAGCAGTTTAAGCATGGACCTCTGGTGTCGAAGCGGATTCTGATGCTGACGCTGATACTTGTCGGGTATTGTGACCGCAAAGCAGATGTGAGCGTAAAGTAAATTTACTAAGCGACAGTAATACATGACGCGTAACGGTAAA